GTTACCCCCAACACTGTGGTCAGTATAGATGACGTTCAAACAAACACGCCAGGTTTATTTTGCGTCTCAGAAAATAACTTCCTTCTGTTGCTTTTTTGGTCAAATTGAGGTGAAAATGAGCTTGTGCTGTTTGTGTGGTTAAAACACCTAATTTCCACAAGATTGCTGTAGTTTTTGTTTCCAGTCAGTGGATTTGTGTTTCAGTAGCACATGGCGCAAACCCTCAGAAGTGACACAGTGCAATGTAACGTAATACAAATAGTAAGCCCAAATAACCATCAGTATGTAACAGGAAAAGATTCAGCATCACTGCAGTGAGGTTTGGTGAGTGGATAATGCAAATATATTTATAAAAATATAAATAATACAAATAAATAAATAAATAAACACGCTACTATTCAATAGTTGGTAAGATTCTTATGCTCAAAAGGCAGCATTTATTTGATCAAAGCTTTTTCAGGATTCTTTGATGAAACCGAAAGTTTGGAGAACAGCATTTATTTTAAGTAAAAATATTTAACATTTTAAATGTCTTTACTGTCATTTTTGATCACTTAAATGCATCGTTGCTGAATAAAAATATCAATTCATTAAAAAAAACATAGCGATCCCAGATTTTTGAATGGTAGTGAGTGTATTTCTTCTCTATAAACATCTTATTGTAGCTCCAACAGTAAAACATGACACTAGCCAGGATCAAGAATTGATAAACCTTGAATTTACCTTGAATGCAATGTAGGTTGCTTTGGATAAAAGCATCTGTCAAATGCATAAATGTAAACCAGATTTTTTTTTTTTTACATATAGAATGCTTAACAGATCATTCAAGCTGCAGTGCTTAAGAAACTGGAATTGTGGTTGCCTGTTGTGTGACAACACTGTAATTTCATCCATTGTTTATATATATATATATATATATATATATCAGCATTTGTTGATATGGGAAGCTGATAAATAGGTTGGAAGGGAAGGATTAAAAAATAACCTTGGAGAAAAAGGAAAATGGTTTCAGAATTATTGCATTTTGATGAAAGAATGAGAAGACAAGCATTTTTTTCCCCCTTAGAATAAGATGCACCAATGAATCATTCACAATAACAGCAGGAATGTGTGTTGAGAAAGTAAACAGTGAATTTTGATTCAATCTTGACTAAAGTCACTATCAAACAAAGCCGTGACAGATCTTTTCTTCTGTATTGTGGTGTAAATCCAAGTGAAACGGTTTAGTGAAAAAATAATATACGATGGGGACTATGCAACGGTTGTTGATTTGATGGAGGCGGATCGGCTGAATGTCAGCATGCAGTGGATTGTGATAAAGCGTTGAAGCCCTGCACGCATCACCAGAGAAAAGTCTTGTCATTTTACTGGAAGGTCGACTTAGGACATTTCAATTAAAAAAATGATGTGGTCACAAACCGTGAATCATTCACAGTAAGATCAGTAACATACATTTAGAAACTAATGTTTCATTTAATGTTTATGATACTGTAGATATTGCCTGGTAGCATAACTTTGTCATTTCCCCAAGTGACAGAAAACAGGAAACTTGCCTCATAACACATTGAGAATCTTCCTGTCTCGATCTTCACACTTGCAGTTTTATCAGCTGTTACTGCGGCAGCAGATCATCGCAAACACAAGGCACAGGTGTTTCACAGTGGCATGTGGACAAGCTATTAACACCTCTGCAAACCACGGCAACAAAAATAACACTTCAAGAGGAACCATGCAAGAACACCTGTACTGTCCTTCCAGCGAACTTAAAAGAAATAGAAGTGTTTGCCAAGGCAAGCAGCGAAATCTGAAATCTGGTTACGTTTTTCTGTTTAAATTCATTTAATGTTTCATTAGGCTTGTCAGTAGATTTAAAAATGTAAGCATGTTGAAAACTCTGTAATCTTATTTCAATCTGCATATCATTCTTTAAAAACAAACCACGAGTCCAGTGTTGGGTGTAATTAGTTACTAAGTAATTAGTTACTAATTACTTTTCCCTTGAGAAAGTAAAGTAAGGGATTACTCTTATTGTTATTATGTAATTGAACGTAATACTGTGTATAGACTGTAGAACATTTACATACAATACAATAGTGGATTTAACATGTAAAAATGTAAAGTCTAACCTTAAAATGCATGCTTTTTATGTAACCTTCTCACTTTAAATACGTTGGTGAGTTAATAAGAATATTAGTCCAATTCTCACTATTAACTAGTTGGTAATTAGCATGAATATTACTGGGATATCGGCTGTTTATTATTACTTAAAAAAAAAAATTATAATGTCTTTTTCTGCAAGACCTTATTCTAAATCCTTAATCCTACCCAATTCGTAAACTTAACGACTACTTTACTAAGTATTAATAAGCAGTAATTAGGAGTATATTAAGGAAAAAGTCATAGTTAATAGTGAGAATTATACTCTAATCTAAAGTGTGATCAGAATAATTTATGTAGTTATCTAATATATATTTGAAAGAACTAAAAGAACCATTTTATGTCTATCCTTGTTTCATTAACTTGTCGAGGTTGATATAGGATTTAGAAAGTAATTATAGTAATAAGTAATTAAATACTTTTTGGAGAGAGTAATTTGTACAGTAATCTAATTACACTGTTGAAGATGTAATTAGTAACTAGTAATTAATGACTTTTTTAGAGTAATTTACCCAACACTGAATGAGTCATAGATGATATACTACAGTCCAAGTTTCTGAAGTCTAAATAACGTCCACTAACTTTTCCTAGTTGTTGCCAGCAGTGTTTATTTAGATCCCAGCAGTGCAGTGTTTGAGTTTATAGGCTGATTTGATTAGACGTTCATAATAGTCGTATACTCCCAAAAGTGTTCTTATAATAGTTCTCTGTTTATAACCATATAAGGAGCTTCAACCTCTTCTACAGCCGTGTATTGTGCTGTGTTTACATCCACGCGGTGTTCCTCTCTTTAGTCCTCAACAGATGTTTTAGTAATCAAACTTTGAAAAAGCTTCATAAGATGTGAGAGATCCGGAGCTGCACTGTTAACTGACACCTAGAGCAGATGGCACGTTCAGATGAATTGTGGGTAGTGAACAGGAGAAAGCTTTGGTGATTTGGCAGCAAACATGGGTGACGTACTGGAGAGGGAGAATTTCCACACTAAAAAGCCAAAGACATTTAGGAAAATAATAAAACACTCATACACACTGACAGTTTATACAGTCTTATACAAGATACAACTGAAAACGTACCGGATTGTTTAATTTGAGCAGATTAATACTACTTGAGGCATATGGACAGAAAACCAAAACAGTATATTTTATAAAATATAAAATTACTTTTGAATGACTGTCAGTGAAGCAGGGCCGTTATAGATTCGAATTTTAAAGTTAGTTTTTATTTCAATTTAAATGTATATTAGTTGTTAGTTTTCATTCTATCATTGTTAGTTTTAGTTTAGTTATTTCAGAGTTTTCTAGTTTCAGTCAATTGTATTTTTAGTTTTAGTATTGTAGGGCTGCCAAAGTTAATTGGTTTAAAAAAGTTTAACAGTGTTAAACACAGGACAGTCTAGTGTTATTGCTGTCTAGCGGGATTTTTTCATGTTTAATGTCAAGTTTTAGGATGTATCAAATTACCATGTATCAAAAATTAAATTATATATATATATATATATGCATGCAAGGTCAAAAAACACTTTCATTGTCTCAACGACTCCCAAATGATTCGCTCAACGATTCATTTTTCCAAACCCCTCCTTTGCGTGACGCTAATCTGCGGTGATTGGTCCGATTGGTCTCATTTCCATTTCATCTCGCCTGTAATGCCTGATAAAGCAGCGTTTGTGAGCGCAGTGCTGCTTTGTGTACAGCGTTACCGGGAAACCGCTATTTTTACTGCTCCAAAAGCAGCACATAGTGGCAAATAATGAATTTGTATTTTCATTCAGACCAATGCGAAAAGACCAAAACGTGGGCGGGCAATATGCCAATGTTTCATGTTGACGTCAACATGAAACGGCTTGGGATTCATTTTAAAAACGACTCGTTTCAATGATTCAGAGTCGACTCTTACTTTTGAGAGACAATAACTTTATACACAGTGCACTTTCAGATTTAAAACTTTGCAGGATGTTTTCATTCACCTAGAGCTGTGTTACACACTGCATGAAAGGTACTTTTCAAAAATCCATAATAGGGGCACTTTAATACATTTTGGTATCTTGTCATTTTAATTTAGTTTCAGTTTAAAATACATTTGTAAGATGTACTTTAGTTTCAGTTTTTCACAGTTGTTTCTTTCAGTTAATGGAAAATTTCGCCATTTAGTTTTTGTTAGCATGAAATTGCAAAAATATGTATCTATTTTGTATATGCATGTTATAGATGTTATTATGAACAGTGCATCCATGTATGTTTCAACTTGGTTTTTTTTTCCTTGTAATGTTTAAAATTATCTTGCGCTGAAAATGGCAAACTTCTCTCTGGTGACGCATGCCAAACTTCTCCAATAAATCATCTTAAACTCATCCCTCCACAATCGACAGAAGATACAAATACAGAAAAAGATCTGGGTCACTAACTAACTATTCACTATGACTTTCCTTCAAAAAAATCCTAATTTGCTGCATATTAATAGTTAGTGAGGTAGTTGCTAAGTTTAGGTATTGGGTAGAGTTAAGGGATCTAAAATATGGTCATGCAGAATAAGGCATTAATGTGTGCTTTATAAGTACTAATAAACAGCCAATATGCTTGTAATGTGCATGCTAATAAGCAACTAGTTAATAGTGAGAAAGTGTTACCAGTATCGGTCACTACTTCCTTTTTATTGCGACTTTAACAATAATAATACTGCAATAAAGAAACAGGCTATCTGCAGAATTGTCTCTATCTGCAAGGGCTAACCAGCTAAACCTTGACCCTCGATCAAAACCACATTCACATCCTTACATGCTTTTGTGCACTGATGCGATCAAGTTTAAGTTATTAAACTGCATGTCTGTCGGTTTTCTGTAGATCCTCAGTTTCATCATCCTTATCTGTTATGCCGCATCTATGTATGGAGGGTATTCAGCGGTGGCCATCTGCGAGATGGTCTTTGCCATCATCTTCTTCGTTGTCTTCATGATGGAGCTGGACAAACAGTTCCTGGTGGTGAACTGGCTCTGGAGCGTGAGTATGAATTCACTCACACTCTTGCATCGTGGTCCAGCCTAGCATTGCGAACGCTGCTTACAGTTTCTCTGTCTGTCTCTTCAGGATCTCATCCGGGCTGTAATCGGTGCAGCGCTTTATCTCATAACCTCTCTGATCTGTGTGATCAGCGGGGCTGGAGACGGGGCTCGCATCGCTGGTGGGGTGAGACATCCAACTTCAACATCAACACATGCCATGCTTATCCCTTCAAGATCAAATCGGATTTGATAGTGCTTTATATCCTCCTCGGATTCTCACTCAACTAGCATCTGTTTATAATAATGCTCATCTTCTCTCCCAGGTGTTTGGTCTGCTGGCTGGGATCTTGTTTGCTTATGATTCCTACACGATTTTCTTGGACATCAAGAGCAGCAGACAGCATACAGATGCTCCCACAGGTGCATGAGCACTCATTCATTTATTAAAACGTGTTAGAAAGCTCACTGGCCTTAAAAGGTATTTGGACACTTAAACCTAATTTAAATGTCATTGCATTAGACATCAAATATCAAATCAAGTGTCCGCAGATTTTTAGTGGATTTACTGTGCCAGTTCTCCTCAAAGGAATAGTTCATCCAAAAATGAACATTTGCTGAAAATGTACTCACCCTCAGCCCGTTCAAGATTCTTTTTTTTAATCACCAATGGATGCTCTGCAGTGAATGGGTGCCGTCAGAATGAGAGTCCAAACAGCTGATAAAAACATCACAATAATCCACAAGTAATCCACACCACTCCAGTCCATCAATTAACGTCTTGTGAAGCCAAAAGCTGTTTGTTTGTTAGAAACAAATACATCATTAAAGCATTTTAACTTTAAACCATTGCTTATGGCCAAAATATGAGTCCATAATAACGCTTCCTCCATTTAAGAAATGTCCATTCCTTGTTGTCCTTTTATATCAAAATCAACGGACAGGTTTCTTTAGAACCGTTTTGGACTGTTTTCACTTGTAAACAGTGCTTGATCTGTGCATATTTTTGAAAATTTGGTGTAGTTTATTTTTTGGACTCTCATTCTGACAGCACCCATTCACTGCAGAGGATCCATTTGTGAGAAAGTGATGTAATGCTACATTTCTCCAAATCTGTTCCCATGTAGAAACAAACTCATCTGCATCTTGAATGAACTTAAGATGAGCATATTTTCAGCAAATGTTCAGTTTTGGGTGAACTATTCCTTTAAGAGTAGCCACAGGTGTTAGACATTACTGGTCCAGATGATCCACTAAAGTCTGAAATCCACAAAGTGTCAGAATACTTTTCTCATGTTCAGTATTTCAATACCTCATCAAAAATGTCTTGTTGTGAAATCTTTCTGTAAAATAAAAGCTACTTGGTTTGATATTTTATCTAATGCAGTGACATTTCGTATATTTATGTATCCTAATTCATCTAAGTATCACCTCTATTTTAGGATGGTTAATTGGTGTTCAAAATATTTTTTAGATCTCAGTCATTTTTTCATGAAATATCATGTTCCTTCAGTACACACTGTACATACAGTGGCCCTATAAAGAATTAGTGTACAAGTCAGATTTTTATTTATAGGTAGATGCACATCTAATTAATAGATTACTTCATAGATTTATTGCTTTTTATTATTTTGTTAAATTGCATTGAATTCCAAGATGTTTTTTCCTTTGAGTAGGAAAATTGCTGCTGCTCACCAGCATATTCAGAAAAATCTCATATGTTTACATTTCTGTTATTACATTTTTTAGATATTTAAAAAATGAAAACGAGTCATATCTTACAGTAACATTCTGGGTTCAGTACAAGTTAATACTTTAGTACTTCAATTTGCACAAACAAAAACCATGTGTACAGTAAAGCACTTACGTTAGATTTTTGTTTGTTTTTACAAACTGAGGGATGTGGTAACTGTCAATACATCAACAGATGGTGTCTGTTTGTTCTTTTAACGCACTGGATTTTTTTTTTTTTTTTTTTTTTTTTTTTTGCGCAATGCGACATTCAGAGGTGGTATCGTATCTCCTCTATAATGCCTTTTTATTAAAAATGAATTGAGTTAATTGAAATGAAGATATATCTTTGACCCTCTTGGCCTCTTCGTTTAGGGGTCACACTTGGCTCCTTCGCAGTCAAAAGTGACCGAAGCCTTGAAATGTAACTTTGTTTTTTTCAGGAAAATCAGTGTAATACATTTTTGTTTAATAATATTTTTGGATTATTATTTAGAATTTTGAGGGTATTTTTTTATGACACTACGCAATATTTATAACATTTTAATGAGCTATTTGTTTCCATTAGAATTCATATATTTGTATTTATTTATTATTTTTCAATAAATGCAATATTTCATGTTAAAACAGAGTGAAAACATTTAAAATTCATTTATTGAAGTGAGAATTGTGCCATCTGGTGGCATAAAAAAAAAAACTTGTGTAATGTCATGTAAACTCCTGTATAGTTCCCTATACACAGAGACCTTTGGATTCTCATTGTTTTTTAGACATAATTTCTTCATTTTATTATATTTTAGAGAGTCACCCCTTGATTGCTGTGCACTTTTGTTCTGTACAGTGGCTGATTTGTAGTTTGTACTACCAAAAGATTCTCTGAGTTTTCGTATATTTTCGTATTTCCCATTCATTTCCTACGTCGGTCATTTTTGACCGCGAAGGAGCCAAATGTGACTTTTTTTTTTGACTCTTTCACATATCCGAATCATGTCCATGATTTTTTGTGTGTGTGTGTGTGTGTGTTCACATAGCTAATGTGACAAAAGTCACCAAGTGTTACCTCATTCCAATGAAGCCACAATTTTTTAAATTTCGGAATTTACATTTTTTCGATCAAAAATGACCGAAGAGGCCCAGAGGGTGAAACCTGAGAGATTTCTATCCCTCCACTGAAAGTCCATTACACCAAAACCCTGAGACATGATCACTTTAACTAACGAACAGATTTCATTTAGGCTTTTACTCACAAATAAAGATCGACAGATGCTTATGCATTTCAAATCTCTTGCTTGAAATCTCTCAGGTTTTGTTACAGAAATTATGATCTTTGTTTCAAAGATGAACAACAGTCTTATGCGTTTGGAACCATATGATTATGAGTAAAACAGGACAAAATTTTCATTTGTTGGGTTAAACTATCCCTTTGAGCTTTTTTTGCCAAGTGTGCTTGCACACATGAGCCATTTTCCGTGGCTATGGAGCTTCCAGTGTACATATGTAAATACAACAACCAGACACATATTATAGAATAAAAACGAAAGTATGAAGATAGTTAGGTTAAGTCTGAAAATATTCAAGGATTGTATATACAGTATTAGGAATAATAATATGAATAAATACAGGATATTGTACTAATATCCTGCAAGATGTATGCCAGTTGTTTGACAGCAGAGACGGGGGGTTTGATTTGAACTGGAGGTGACACGTGTTGTAACTCTCTTTGAACAGGTCGCTGAAGGCCGTCTGCCCGATGTTTACGACTGACATTTGGCATTTGAGCCAAACAGTTATTCTGTGGCAACACTGGTATCTCAGCGAAAGCTATGCCGCTTCACGTGTCCGCTCTTAATGCTGTGTAACTATAACAACTTAACCTGACTAACTGTTCCCCGGTTATTCATTTTGCGTCTCCCTTTTTTGTTTTCTCTCTTTGTTTTTTAACAGATGACACAGTTTGAAACTACTTTCCTCACTACACCATTAACAGCAACCAAAACATGGAGAACAAGTCTAAAAATGGCAAAAGGAGTGAATTCCTGAGAGTTACCGTGAGAGATGCAGACCAGAGGAATGCAAAAGGGACGAAACATTACACAACAAAAGAGGTTATGTACAAAAGGGATGGAAAATGAAGGAACAGAAAGCTGTCGGCATTCAAAGATTCATTCCGTCATCTTGGTCAGGCGGCTGTCATTACCACAAATGTTTTGTTGGCTTGGTCAGTTACACAAGCACTATCACAACATTTAGTAACATCAGATAAATCTGACAACATGAATACAGTGTTCAGAAGAGTTTCAAAGTCAATCTGTCTTCCCATTCTTTACTAGAGAAAGACAAGTTTTGACCAAGTCATTATAAGGAAGTTGTGTTGGAAAACTTGATTTAATTCAGTCTGGTGCTGTTTTTTTATGATGAAACATTAAGGTTGCTTAAGTTTTTTATGGTGAAATTTATAACTGTAACTAAATTCTAATAACTATTGATTGTTCTTGTGTTTTGTGCTTAAAGCAGCACTATGCAACTTTTTCTGTGTTCAAAATTTGCAAATGTATATAATGAGCGAGTACATCATGAATTCATCTTCCAAACCGTGTTTTTGTCTTATTCCGAATCACTACGGTACACTTATAATAAGTACTTATATTTGGACTATTGTAGCCTGGTCGGGTCGTCGCCGCTGCGGGGTAACACATATCTGCGTGAATCGCCATAGACATAAACTTAGAGAAGTAGCTCCGGTTGGAATGTTCTTCCAGTTCTGTTTATTAACCGCTAGAGCGCCAAAAGGTAGACTACATAGTGCTGCTTTAAACTAGGGTTAATCAAACAAGTTTTGAGTCAGATATATTAAACTCAGGTGCAGTCAAGAAAAGTCAGTTTTCAGTAAATTTAAAGGGATTTTCTCTTTCTTTAAGCTGAAAAGGAATGAATCTCAGCCATAATATCTTCCATGGTGGCACACATTTAAGTTCTCGCAGTCCATGTGTTGGTACATGTTCATTTTCTCTCATCTTTTCTTACATATTGCCATTAAACCTGTTACCTCGAGGATTGATCATTGTCTTGATGCCATAAGTATTTTTTTTTATTCTAATAATAAACTGATCACATATATTAGACATATCTTCATTTACAGCCTCTGTTCCGTTCAACCCTGGTGAGTAATGTAGAGTGAGAAATACTAAAACAGCACACAACTTTTGCTCATTCAAGATTTCCCAGGGAAATATTATGAATAAATATGTTTACTCTGTTGTATTGCCTTAAAATAGATCAATCAGTAGTATTTGGCCCGCAGTTCCTCCAGTTATTCAAACGTCAGAAGCTTGTCCAAGATACACTCTTAAAACTAAAGGTGCTCCACGATGGCATAGAAGAACCTTTTTGTCTAAATGGTTCCATAAAGAACCTTTAACATCTGAAGAACCTTTCTGTTTCACAAAAGCTTCTTTGTGGCGAAAGCAGGTTCTTCAGATTATAAAAAGATGGTTCTTTGAAGAACCTTTGACTGAATGGTTCTTTGTGGAACCAAAAATGGTTCTTCTATGGCATCACTTGAAGAACCTTTTAAGCACCTTTATTTTTTAGAGTGTAGAGATTCATAAATCTGCAGTTTTAGGAGGACACAATAATTTGGCCTGTTTTGTTTAGACAAGGGTTTTTTTTTTCTCCTGCTTGGAGACCATTTATAACATGTATAATTTGTTTTAACCATTTATAAATTATATATTCCAATTAGTTGAAGACAGTCTGCCTGTTTTTCCTCTCATGTCTGTATTGTTTTTGCGATCTCACCTCTACCCCAGTGATTTCCTGAAAGCATTTATTTGTGAGAAATGCCATCACTTCTGTAAAAATGATTAACTCATGATGCTCTGCTCTTTTAAAACAGACACTTAAAAAAAAAAAACACTTGAATGTTTTTTTGTTTTAGATGTACAGCACAACATGTAATTCTGTAGGATTTATGTCTCTAATTGGTGTTGCTGGTATTTCGATAACATTTAATAAAAGGCTGTTATAACGTGTCCAACTTTTACACGCGTGTGTGTGTGTATGTGTATACCTGGTATTTATCACGTTATGGGGACCAAATGTCCCCACAAGGATAGTAATACTAGTAAATTTTGACCTTGTGG